ACAGTATCATCAACATCATGCACACTATGCAAATTATCATCAGCATCATCATCGTCCTCATCATCAGCACCATCAGCATCAGCATCAGCATCATCATGGTCATCACCGTCATCGTCATCATCGTCAGCATCAGCATAATCATCATCATCATCGTCATCGTCATCGTCAACTTCATCATCATCATCATCATCATCATCATCATTATCATCGTCGTCGCCGTCGTCATCATCATCATTGTCATTGTCATCATCATCATCATCATCCTCATCATCATCATCATCATCAGCAGCAGCAGCAGCAGCAGCATCGTCATCATCATCAGCATCATCATCATCATCCATATCTACATCCACATCCACATCCATATCCTCCTCCTCCTCCCTCCTCCTCAACTGAGTATCGTTTAACCGATCCCCATGCCTAACGGCGTGGCCTGGGCCCCACTGGCCGATTTACCCTCCTAGATGGGGATGTTAGCCGTTCCCTTCGGGTTTCGACGGGTGTACCCCCAACTGGGGTGGTAATTTGGTGGGAGTCTCGAAGGGGATGGGGATGGGGATGGGGATCGGATAAACGATACTGAATCGGCCCCCAGACCTCTCCGGGAGCACATCTTGGCCAGGGTGCTTGAGGCGGGCCCAACCGTAGCAGGTGGCTCCGCCGGAAGTCCTTATCCGCCTCCACCCCTACCCCTCATGAATAACACCTCCCTTTTGCAACCACCAGACGTGCCGTAAGGGCAGGCCGGATGCTTCATCCTCACCTCTCAACATCTGGAAGTTTGACACGTCAAACAAGGACATTGATGGTGGGAGGCTAGTTTTTTTATTCTAGAGCCATCGAATTGGCGCCGTGAGGAACCATTTGAAACACTCCAACTGCTAAAAGGGAGGTCCCTTTTCAAGGAGGGGATCTCGGCAGACGTCCTCAAAAATGTGTTTTCACTGATGCAAGACATGTGCGGATGGAGGGCAGCTCCTTGGCAAAATGGGGCTCCCGCTGGAGACTTCGTCGGATCTGACAGCCAGCAGCTCAACACTGCGCCACCGCTGGACGGAGGGAGGGCAGGTCCTTCTCAGCGAGGGCCGGTTGCGGGGCACCTGCTGGGACTGCGCGACCCCGCCAAAGTATAGCATGCCCGATGGCTCGAAGCACGGAGGGCCACCGTCTTTCCAAGCGGAGCTGCCGCCGGAAGTGCGCGGGGCGCTCGTCCTGCAAGGGGGGGACCCCTCGCGCAGGGAGCGAGAATGCCTGCAGGAACGAATGTGGGAATTGGCCTGGGGCGGGAGGGCATATGCTGCAGCATCGTTGATGCATCCTGGGCCTACTCTGGTCCTCGTCCTCCTGCTCCGCCGCCTCCCCCTCCTCCTCCTCGTTCCACATCGACGCCCCCCTCCTTGTTCCTCCTCCTCCTCATCCTCCTCCTCCTCCTCCTCCTCCTCCTCCTCCTGCCTCCTCCTGCCTCCTCCTGCGAACGAAGCCCTCCCAACGCCGGCCCGCCCGGCAGCTTGTTTGAGTGGCCGAGTGCGCCCGGCACTGCTCATTTGCACGTCGTGCGCGCGCCCCGCACGGGAGGGCGCGGCAGCCTGGCCCGCCCTGGCATGCGGCCCCTGCGCACGCTGCCCCGTCTTCTGACGAGGGCAGTCGGGAGTGAATGGATGAATGAGCCCCATCACGATGCAAAGTGGGCAGGCGGGAGTTAAGACAGGATAAGACCGATCGCGAAGCGATGAGGAGGAGGAGGAGGACAAGGAGGAGAAGGGCAAGGAGGGGGGGAGGGGGAGGAGGGGGAGGGGGAGGGGGGGGGAAGGGGGAAGGGTGGATGGAGGGGGGAAGGAAGGGAGAAGGGAGAGGAGAGGGAAAGAGGGAGAAAGAAGCGGGGTTCTTGCAGTAGACCCCAGCAGTCTGGAGAAACATCGGCGGGCAGAGCGCCCATCAAGGAGGGAGAGGGATGGAAGATTGGTAAAGGCGGCGAGGAGGAGGAGGAAAGAAGGAGGGGGTGGGAGGGGAGGGAGTAGGGAGCAGGGAGGGGGGAGAAGAGCGGAGGAGGGAGAGGAGGAAGGAGGAAACGGAGGAGGATGAAAAGAATGAGGACGAGGAGGAGGAGGAGGAGGAGGAGGAGGAGACGGTGCAGGAGGAAGGCCACATCTTCCAAAGAAATGCACACACGAACCCCATACCCTTGCCAGTGAGGGCGAAACTCCCTCCTCCTCCTCCTCCGCCTCCTTCTCCTCCTCCTCCTCCTCCTCCTCCTCCTCCTCCTCCTCCTCCGCCCTCGACATCCTGCCCATCCCTCCTCCGGCACCCGCCATCCACCATCCCTTGCTTCTGTTCTCTCCCCTTCCCTTCCCCCGTCATCCCTCGTCCCCGTCCCTCCCCTCCTCTTCGGCATCCCTCCTCCATCGTCTCTCGTCTCTGCTCCCTCCCCTTCCTCCGTGGCCCATGCTCCAGAACCACTCCTCCCTCATTGCGCATCCCTTCTTCCGTCGCCGTCCGCCCTCCCTCCTGCCCCTCCTCCCCCTGCAGCTCATCCTCCCGCCCCTGCCCCACCTGCTCCTCTGCCTCCTCCTCCTCCTGCTGCTCGTGCAGGAGACGAGGGGAGAGGGAGCAGGAGGAGTGCGGAGAGGAGGAGGATGCGCACGAGGAGACGGATCGGGTGAGGGAGGAGGCGCAGGGAAAGAGGAGGACAAGGACGAGAAGGAGGACAACGACGAGTGGAGGAAGAGTGAGAACGACGACGCGAAGGAGAAGGAAGAGAGGGAGTCCGAAAGGAGAAAGCCGCCGGGCGCGATGGCGGAGTGGACACTCCTCAGCCCGGCTGGAAGATGGTGGTGGTGACCACGAGGCACAGGGGGGCCTGGCGCAGAGTTGGGAGGCAACTCCTGGGAGGCTTCCGTCCCGCCAGACCTCTGGGCGCAGGCGGTTTCAGGGGTCCCCCCTTCCAGCCCCATCCTTCCCCTGACGACCTAGCAAACAACCCCAACCCAACCCAGAAACCCAAAGTTCGGGTTGGGGTGGGTACGGGCTTCATATCTGAACGCCCGAAATGGGTACGGAAACAATGGACACAAGGCCCAACAACCAATGCTGTCCAAAACCGACAGCGGCTGCGGTTGGGCGGGCAGGTGCTTGCCCTCAATGGACAACGTCCGCGGCGGCGCGGACAGGGAGTCATGCTGAACATGTATCCGTTCTCTATCCGTGCCCAGATCGATCACGGGTGGACAGCTCCCGCCTCGCCTGCTCGGCTCGCCAACCGCGGCACGCCGAGCGCGTGCCGAGCACTGCTCGGCACGCCAAGCGCGTGCCGAGCAGAGTGCCCGTGTCTCAAGGCGGAGAGGGAGGGGGGGGAGGAGGAGGAGCGCCTGCTCGGCTTGCCAAACGCGTGCCTCGCCAAGCGCGTGCCTCGCCCTGCTCGGCACGCCAGGCGCGTGCCGAGCAGAGTGCCCGTGTTTCAGTACCCAAATCGAGCGTCCCGATCGAATGCGTTTTTCGATGCTCCTCGACCCCCACCCGCACTGGAAACGGAGGGCAACTCGCCACCGCCGGGTTGGGCCTCCCCCCTAGACCAGACGCGAACCAGGAGCAAGAATCCTACCCCTGCCAAGCGTACAGTAGAGGCCGGTCCACCAGAAACCCAGCCCTGAGACCCCCAGGACGTCCACTGATTTTTGGTGTGGGCGCGTCGCGCTCTTCATCACAAAACCCAGGGCACCCTGGAGGCAAGCAAGGTATTTCTTGGCATGGGCCCCCACTGTAAAACAGAGTGCGCGCGGCCGCAAAATCTAGATCAGCGGTCAACGCTCGATCACGTTGCCATTGGTTCTTGACAAGGACCGCGCGGGGGGGGGGACCACATTTGTCCGACGTTCGCCCGCCCACCATCCGTATCAAAAGCAAGCGCCAATGGATTGCGGGTGACCACACACACACAATACACCTCTCTGACCACCCCACCGCCACTTGGAATTTATGTTTGGCAGGGATGGTGGGGGTGTCGGCATACTACCACATGTGTGCTGATGGAGGGAGTGTGAGAGTGAGAGACCTCTTGTGGCGTTCCCGTTGGAAACTTGATCACGGCTCCTCATTAGCAAACGGCCCTCCACCACCCGACCGGCGACACACCCGGGACAATGCGGGCACCGGAGACGCTGGGGCGTCGGGGTGGTCCTGGGAAGGAGTGGTCCTGGCAAGGTTCTTGGCCCATTGCGAGCTGCGGGAGGCCCGTGGTCTGGACTGTCTTCAGACCCTCTTGGAGGCCTCTTGGGGGGTATTTCTGGAGCCTCTGGGGCGTTTCTGGGATCATTTTGGAGCGCTCTTGGGCCGTCGTGGGGGCTTGTAGGGACGTCCTGGGGCCATCTGGGAGGGATGTCGATGTTGGGAGTCTCGGGACGTCTGGGGGCTTTGTTGAATGACTCGCGCCGTGTGGGAGCCCGCTCGAGCCCTCTTCGGCAGCTCTAGGGGCCCTCGTGGGCCATTTAGGGGATCTCCTGAGCCGTCTCGGGGGCCTCTCGGGCTGTCCTGAGGCGATGTTGGCAGTCTCGGGCCGTCTTGGAACCCGCTTTGGGACCTGTTGGGCAGCTCCTGGGGTCCCCTTGGAGCTGTTATGGGGGTCACCAAGGGCTCTGTGAGGCTGTCGTGGCTTCTCTTGGGCAGTCTTAGGCCCTCTGGGGCCGTCTTGGGGCACTTGGCGGGGCCTCCTGGACCGTCTTGGGGCGATCTGCGATGGCCCTAGAGACGTCGTGGGCCGTTCTTCGTCCGAAATGGTGAGAAGATGGAAAACCTTTTAAAAACAAGGCAAATCAATGAGTTTGGCATCGGGAGACCGTCATCGGGGTCTGGTTCGGCCGTTTTCGAAGGCACCTAGCCAATCATCGGGCCGTCTTGGGCTGTCATGGGGTTCCGTTCGGGCTCTCTTGGGCCGTCCTCGCGCGCTCTGGAGCGCCTCAGAGCTGTCTTGGGGCTGTCAGAGGCGGTCTTGGGGCCACCGAGGTGCTCCCTGGAGCCGACGGAGAGCGACGGGGCGCTCCGGGCGCTGGGGGACAGCTCGCGACCTTCTCGCCCCTTTCGCACGCGCAACGACCAGGATTGTAGTACAGATGACGTTGGGCTCCGGCTTCGCCTCCTACATCGCGCTCAGCAGCGCCAGAAGAGCTCACCGCCACTGCTCGCACCTCTTGCACGCGCTGATCCCAGCGCTGTCGCTGACCGAAGCTGACCCGTGGACTACGCTCACGAGATCTGCAAGAACTGGCACGTGGTGGCGGACGTGTGGCCGAGAGGCTGAAAATGATCCGCGAACGTGCCCCTGGGCACCGAGCAGGCGTGCCCTGAGGTCCTTTGCCTAATCCCTGGGGCCTCAGTCCTCACTCCTGAGTAACTCGCCATCGCTCGGACGTCCAGTCCCTGTGTTTTTATCGGTTTCGTGCGTGGTTTTTGTTTGCCAGGATGCTCCCCGATGGTCTTCGCCGAAGGTAAAATGCACGCGTCCGAGCGATGCCAAGGTAATGTTTGAAGGACCCGGACCCCAAGTTTCGAAATTTGGCGGGGCTCCCAGCGTGTCCCCACGGGATCCTCCCCCGCGGCTCCCCGCGTGCCTCTCTTCAGGAAGGGAAACACACACAGACACAATGAATCGTCGACTCCCAGAAAAATATGGGAAAATATGGGAATTGGGCGGGAAGGCAAGAACCCAGAAAATGTCGAAAAATATGGGGAGTCATTTTATTTATGTGTGTGTTTATCTGTGTGTGTGTGTGTGTGTGTGTCCTGGGGCCCCTTGACTTCTGGCGCACAGAGAAGCCCAAGACGGGCCGAGAGGACTCCAGGAGGCCGACACACCGAGAAGCCCGGCCCTCGGCCCCTTATGAGGCCCTGGCCCAGAGGGCCCCAAGATTGATCGATTGAGCGGGCGGCTGATGGCGGCAGCTGTGGCTCTGTGACTGAGGGCTCCAGACCTGCAGCCTGGGCTGGAAACGTTGAGCGCTACGTACACCACTGACACGTCCAGGAGGAGGGAGGGGAGGAGGAAGGAGGTGGACCCCCCCCCCCCAGGGGGCCCCGAGAATTCCCCCAAGAGGCCCAAAGGAAGCCCCCAGACGGCCCAAAACGGCCCCCAAGAAGCTCCACAACGGCCCCCTAAGAGGCCTCCAAACTGCCTCCACGAGGCCCCCGAGAGGCCTCCCACGAGATCCCAACGAGCATCCAATAGTCTTCATACGCACAACCCAGGAACGGTGGCAGGATGTGCCGAAGACCATTAGGCACCGTGGGGCTCGACTTTCGCATTCCCCGCATGCTGGCGTGCTGCTGCGTGCTGCCGCTGTTGCGTGATGTTCATAATGCTTGCCGCTTGTGCGTGCTGCTGCTTGTGGCTGCAGGGTGCTGCTGACCGGCTCCGTGTGGTGTCTCCTGCTGCCCGCTGCTTGCTGCTGCATGCTGTTGCTGTGCGCTGCGCTGATGCTGCCTGCTTACAGCTGTGCTGCTGCGGCTGCGGCTGCTGCTGCTGCAGGATGCTGCTGGGGCTTGGAGCGTCGAAGGCCCGAAAAGGCGAGGACGTAAAATCCTTCAAACACCATATGGGAATCAATGATTTCGGCCTCCCAGGGCCCTCTGAAAGGCACCTTGGAGCCCTCAGAGGTTGTTTTGCGGCCATGTTGGACCGTCTGAGAGCCATGTTGGTGACCTCGTGGGTCGCCTGGAGACACTTCTGGCAGTGTTGGACAGTCTTGGGGCCCTGTGCGGCCGTCGTAGAGCAACCCCGGGGGGCCCGGGAGCGCGCCGAGCCTGCCTTTGAGCCCACGGGGCCTAGAGGGGGCAGGAAGAACTGGGTTAAGGCACAGGCCATTCTAGCTCGCAAGAGGCGCTGCATTGTAGAAGAGATGACGGTGGGCTCCAGCTTCGAATCCTACCTCTCGCTCAGCAGCGCCAGAGCCCACCAATGTTCTCGCTTCTCGCACGCGCCGATCCCAGCGCTGTAGCTGACTACTCCGTATGGATTACGTCGACGAAATCTGCACGAATTGTCTTATGATGTTGGGCATGCTGCTGAAAGGCTGAAATTGAAACGTGGGGCTCGAGCTTCGCATTCCACGCATGCCACTGCGTGCTGCTGCGTGCTGCCGCTGCTGCATGCTGCTGGCAATGCCTGCCGCTTATGCGTGCTGTTGCCGCTTGTGGCTGCAGGGCGCTGCTGACCAGTTCTGTCTGGTGCGAGCGGTTGCCCGCTGCCTGCTGCTGCGTGCTGCTGCGCTGCGCTGCGCTGCTGTTGCCTGCGTACAGCTCTGCTGCTGCTGCTACTGCTGATGCTGCTGCAGGATGCTGCAGGGTCTTGGCCCTCGCTTCTTCGGCTTGCCGACGCAGACTGCTGCGCGGCAAGAGCCGAGGAGCCAGGCTCGACGAGAGAGAGAGGGGGGCGGGGAGAAGCGAGGCCCGATCGGCGAAGGGCGAGGAGCAGCACGAGTACACGAACAGGTGACAGATCGCACATACATATACATATATCTATATGAACACACATATATATATATATATGTGTGTAGCATGTGTATACATATGTATATATACGTGTATACATATATATATATATATATATGTGTGTATGTGAAAACAACAGGTGTTGGCGCAGGAGGCTCCCCCAGGGGGGGGGGGTCTCCTTTGAGCCGCCTCGGGGCGCGCAGAAGATCCCTCTGGGCCCTCGGGAGGCCATCTCTTGGCGGCCCGGGAGCCTTCCCTTGTGGACGCCTGAGAAACGCCCCCCGCCCCCCGCCCTCCCGTCCTCCCTCCTCCCTCCTCCCTCCTCCTCCCCCCTCGTCCTCCTCCTCCTCCTCCTCCTCCTCCTCCTCCTCCTCCTCCTCCAAGCCCCCCGCGTGAAAATCTTTGGACCAACTAGGCCGCGCGCGCGCCCCCCCCCCCACCCCACCCCTGCGGCAGCTGGCAGTGGCCTCGCTCACAGGGCGCCTGCACTCGACGAGCGCGCTCCACGACTCGCAAAAACTAACTGCTCGCGAATGGCCTGGATCCACCGCGGGGGATGTGTACGATGCACCACGCCGGGGCAAGCATGTGCTTTCTGTCGGAGGTCTGCGAGTAGGCACTCTGCGAGGAGTGGCACGCGCCCGGTGACACACTTAGTAGGCACATTCGCCGTCCTCGCGGATCGCTGACATGCAGAATCCAGTGCTGTGGCGAGGCCTGGGGTCGGCCTCCCACTGCTCGAGGCCCGGAGCTCTCCGGGGCCGAGCCCTCGGAGCCCTCTCCGGAGGCCAGGCGCCTCTCCCCCAATGGCACTCCTCGGCGCCCTCGCTCTCTCGGGGCCTCGCTCTGTCGCCCCCTCTGCGGGCAGTGTCTTTATCCACATCCAGTGCGTCTTGGAGTTTCGGACTCTCTTCCCAAGAAACATGAGGCGCACTGGATATGGATTATAACCTGCCTCCAAAAAAGGCTCAATCTTTATCCACATCCAGTGCGCCTCGGCCTTGCGGCGCCCCTTCCAAGAGAGTCCAAGACGCACTGGATATGGATGTAGGTATTGCCCGCATCCCTCGGGAGCGCGCCCCCGGGAGTTGGTAATCCCCAAACGTGGTGGTGACAACACCTGGCGGTGAGTCTCGGGCGATTTGGTGTCACCACCCGGTTTGGGGACTCATGCGCTTGTTCGAGGATGTCCCGAACGCTGGTGGGCCCAGGAGTCACAAGACCCGGCGGTGAGCCCGCGTCCCAAAACCCGGGGGTGACTTTTTGGGGATTCCAGGTCACCACCTGGTATCTCACCACCTGGTTTGTCGGGGATGGACAGACCCCCCTTTAGCAAAACGTGGTTTAGTGAAAACGACCTGAGGCCCAAACCTGGCGGGCGCGAACCTGGAAAATAGCGGCCACGGCGCCCTCTCGAGAACCGAAAACGGACAATTCACTAATCGACGTGTCACTGTTGGGAGTTGTGTCCACCCCCGAGTTTGGGGGCTCCCGAGGGAGGCACCCGGCCCCGCGGGCCCGGAGAGCACGCCGCGGGGAGCACGCCCCGACGCGGCGCCCCCCTCGCGGGCCGGAGGCGCTGCAGAGGCGGGGGGGAAGGGAGGCGCGCGCCAGGGACGCCCTGCAGCGGGGGCCCCTGCCAAGAGGCACCCTGCTTGCCTCAAAGGGTGCCCGGGGCTTCTTGGGTCTCGATGGTTTTGCGATGGCAGGCGTGGGCGTTCCCGCACCAAGAACCAATGGAGGTCCTGGGGTCTCAGGGTTGGGTTTCTCGTGGAGGGTTCCTTGTGTACGGACACCCTGCTTGCCTCCAGGGTGCCCCGGGTGTCCTGGGCTTCGGCGGTTTTGCTGCGGAAGGCGTGGGCGTTCCCGCGCCAGACATCGATGGACGTCCTGGGGTCTCAGGTTTGGGCTTCTCGTGGAGGGCTTCAAGAAACCCAACCCTGAGACCCCAGGACCTCCATTGGTTCTTGGTGCGGGAACGCCCACGCCTTCCATCGCAAAACCATCGAGACCCAAGAAACCCAGGGCACCCTGGAGGCAAGCAGGGTGTTTCTTGGCATGGGCGTCCACTGTAGATGCCTTATCTCCTGGGTGGCCAGCTGGGTCCCAGAGCTCTCTAAGGCATCTTCCCTCGAAGCCTCCTAGAGGCGGCTTATGGGGTGTATGGGGGCCTCTCAGGGACCCGGGCTTCACGGTGCCTGATTCAAACCTCTTGGAGGCCTCCTGGGACTTCTGGGGACCTGTCAGTCGCGGGGGCTCACCTTGGGGCAGAGGGCGCGAAATGTCAGTTCGATGTCCCCCTCCTGGGGCCATCTCGTTGGGCTCCAGCTTCGAATCTTACATCTCGCTCAGCATCGCCAGAGCCCAGTGCCACTGCTCTCGCTTCTCGCACGCGCCGATCCCAGCGCTGTAGCTGACTACTTCGTACGGACTGCGACCACGAAGTCTGCACGCATTGGCATATGATGTTGGGCATGCTGCCGAAAGGCTGAAACTGAAACGTGGGGCTCGAGCTTCGCATTCCACTGCGTGCTGCTGCGTGCTGCTGCGTGCCGCCGCCTGCTGCATGCTGCTGGCAATGCTTGCCGTTTTTATGCGTGCTGTGGCCGCTGGTGGCCGCAGGGCGCTGCCGACCAGTTCTGCTTGGGTGCGTGCTGCCGCCCGCTGCCTGCTGCTGCGTGCTGCCAGCTGCGTGCTGCGCTGCGCTGCGCTGCTGCCTGCGTACAGCTCTGCTGCTGCTGCTATAGCTGCTGCTGCTGCTGCAGGATGCTGCAGGGTCTTGGTCCTCGCTTCTTCGGCCTGCCGACGCAGGCTGCGGCGCGGCAAGAGCCGAGGAGCCAGGCTCGAAGAGATCGAGGACTGGCGGCGAGCGCGGGGGGACGTGAGAAGGCTCGCAATGCCCCCCCGCCTTCTCAGAAGGCTCGCAATGCCCCCCCGCCTTCTCAGAAGTTCTAAGAAGGCTCGCAATGCCCCCCCGCCTTCTCAGAAGTTCTAAGCCTTCTCGGAAGTCCTTCTCAGAAGGTTCGCAAGCCCCCCCCCGCCTTCTCAGAAGTCCTAAGCCTCCCCCCGAAGACAGAGGAAACTCTCCTCAGAGGCACGGGGGCTCTCCGGAGAAGTCCCGCCGCCTTCCGAGAGGGCCTCCTCCTTCTCGCGTCCCCCCCTCGCTCGCCACCGAAGGAGGGGAGAGAGGGGGGGGGAAGCGACGATCGATCAGCGCAGCGCGAGGCGCGGGAAGGGGGGGGCGACGGCCGAGGAAAGAGGGAGGGGCGAGGAGGGCGGGGGGGGGGGGGGGGCGAGGAGGGACCTCTCGGGGGCCTCTCAAGGGCCTCGTGAGGGGAGGCCCGTCGGGACGTCTCGCGGGGGGCGTCTTAGGGGGCCTCTCGGGGCCTTCTTCGGGGCCTCTCGGGCTTCCACAGCGCCCTCCCCAGCCTCCTGGAGCCATCTGCGTGGCCTGGTCTCGGGGTCACTGGGAGCTGTTTCGGGAGGGGAGGGTCCGGGAACGTTCGGGGGAACCCTGGGGCCATCTCGGTGTGCTCACGGGCCGCCTTCGGCCCGTCCTGGGGCCGTCTTGCCGGCCTCATGGGCCGTCCTGGAGCTCAGCTGGGTTTAGTCTTGGAGCTGGTCTCGGGGGCTTCTTGGGCCGTCCCAGGCGTCCCGAGGCCCGATAACGCGAGCACGCGTAAGTCATTCGAGAACCATGGGGGATCAATGGGTTTACCTACTGGAGGCCCCCTCAGGGGTCCTCTTGGAGGCGTCTGGAGACGTAGATGGGGCCTCTCGGGTCATCTTGGGCCCCCCTGGAGGCGTTCTCGGGCTGTGTTGGAGTTCTCTGGGGTCGTCTTGGAGCTCTCTTGGGCGATCTAGCGCCTCTCTTGGAATATCCGTAAGCTCTATTTGAACCCTCTTGGGCCGTCTTGGAACGCCCCAGGGGGCGGAGCGCGCAAATGCCGTTGGGGCCGACTTGAAGGTACTTGAGCGTCAAACACTCTTGCACGCGCTGCCGGCCCCCCTTTAAAGTGATAGATGACATCTGGCTCCAGCGTCGCCATCCACATCCCGCGCAGCAACACCAGAGCCCACTGCCACTGCTCGCTCTTCTGACAAGCACTGGTCACAGCGCTGTAGCTGATGACGTTGGGCTCCCGCTTCCGTTCCCACATCTCGCTCAGCAGCGCCAGAGCCCACTGCCACTGCTCGCGAATATCGCACGAGCTGATCCCAGCGGTGTAGCTGATGGCATTGGGACTCAGCTTCGCCGCCGTCATCTCGCTCAGCAGCGCCAGAGCCCACTGCCACTTCTTGCGCTTCGCGCACGCGCTAATCCCAGCATTGTAACTGACCAGTGTGCACCACTGGAAGATCCACGGCAAGCAGGTCAAAGCGTCGGCCCCGAAAGCGCAGGTGTCACTGACGCAAGCAGAGGAAGGAGAGGGAGAGCGGCACCAGAGAGAGGGGGGTGGAGGCCCCCAGAGGCAGAGGAGGATTAGGAGGAGGAGGAGGAGGAGGAGGAGAAGGCAGCGAGGAGGCAGAGGAGGAGGAGGAGGAGGAGGAGGAGGAGGAGGAGGACGAAGAGAAGAGAGGAGAACGGGGAGAGACGCTTCCTGGGGCTTTGCTTGGGGTCTGGGGCCTTCTTTTGGGCTGCTGTCGTGGAGGTCCGGAGGCGTAGGAGGAGGAGGAGGAGGAGGAGGAGGAGGAGCAGCAGCAGGAGGAGGAGAAGAAGAGTGGCACAGGGGAGAGGTGAGGAGGCACCCGGAGGAGGCACCCGGAGGAGGCACCCGGAGGAGGAGGAGGAGGAGGAGGAGGAGGAGGAGGAGGAGGAGAAGGAGGAGAGGGAGGAGGAGGAGGAGGAGGAGGAGGAGGAGGAGGAGGAGAAGTGTGTGGGCGACCCGCGAGTGGCGCGACGCAGCTCACCGCGATCACTCGGAGCCCCGCGGGGTGGCGCTTGGGTCTATGTTGAGCCAGGCCGACGAGTGACCCATTTCCCATTTACGCCACCCGCGGAGCTCATGCTTGCAGGAGAGCGCGCATCTCATTATAATGCGGCGAGAGGGCGACCGCATGGCCCTCACACAGGCGCTGGCTGGTGTAAGGGCGCTGGCCCCGAAGAAGCTTGCCTCGCCTGCATTTGGCCTGAGGGTTGGCAGACTCACCCTCACAAGTCTGAAGGATCTTCTCAGCCCTGCCGCTCGAGGAAGCCCTACGATTGCCACGGGACTGGGGACCGCCATCGCACAGTAACACATGACGGCGCAACGGGAGCTGCTCGGGGACCGCCCTCGGGGCGGGCGAAAATCGGGCATCCCTCGCGGGCGCCCATCGGCAGGCCGTCCTTAGCATGGATGTCCTTGCCCTGCAAGGTGCGGGGCGGGCACGCCTGCCGCAGCCCCAGCTCTAACACCGCCAAGCCACTATTGCCCAGAGGAGGGAACGAGGGGATGTCCCAGGAGGAAGGGCCCCCAGGACTGCCAAATACACACACACACACACAAACAAAAAGGTTCCCCAACAGTTTCCCATACGTTCTGGGCTTTCGCCATCCCCCCCACTGCCCACAGTTTCCCATAGGTTCTGGGGAATCGACGATTGAATGCGTCTGTGTGTGTGTGCTCCCTCCCGACAGCAGGAGGCCCAACCCGAGCCCGACGCCTCTCCCGCGCACACCCCCCAATTGGTTCTGGACCACCGTGCATACTTAGGGCCGCAGGGGCCGCGGCCCGAGGCGGCCTCGACTCTCGCCGCACCGAGGGCCCCCAGATGGCGAAGAGGAATCGTTCACGAGGGCCCCGAAAAAGAAAAAGAGGAGGAGGAGGAGGAGGACGAGGAGGAGGAGGGGAAGGAAGAGAAGAGGTGAGAACAGGGAGAGGGGCTTGCTGGGGCGTTCTTGGGAGTTCGGGGTTTTCTTTGGTGCTACGGGCACTGTAGAACCGGCAAAAGGTGCCTGGGCTTGAGGCTCTCCTGGGTGCTCCTTGGCAACTATCGGAGTCTCTAGGGAGGCTGCGGGGCATCGACAGGTGATCTGAGGCGTGCGTGGGGTCAAGGACTACTTTTGGGGCGTCTGGGAATCCAGAAACAGAGAAAGGTGCGGGGCTGGAAGCTCTCGCGCGAGCTCCTTGACAATTGTCGGAGTCTGTTGGGAGGCTGCGCAGCAACTCGGAGCCGTCCTTCTTCAACAACTCTTGGGGCCCTCTTGGGCCATTGTGGGGCCCTCTTGGGCCGTCTCGGGGCTTCTTGGGCGTCTTGGGGCCAAGTGGGGGTCTAAGGCAGTCTGGAAGCTTGCTTTGGACCCTCCTGGACAGCTCCTGAGGGCATCTTGGGGCTGTCTTCGGGGGGCACGTTAGGCCGTCTGGGGCTGTTCTGGGCTGTCTTCGGGTCCTCTTGGGCCGTCTTGGGGCGATCTTGTGAAGACCTGGGGCCCTGTGGGGCCGTTCTGGGCCCGTCAGGGGGTAATAACCGAGTGCCCGCGATAATTCCCCGGAGATAGAAAAGTTCGGTGTTCCGGCGGGATAATAAACTGCTGGTCCCAGCAAGTCGTATGTACGGATGTACGCGTAGCACATAGACAGCACCACACAGGCAGCACATTGACTTGGGAAAGCTGACATGGTGAGAATCCCATAGCCCTGCCACACGTTGATGACTTGGAAAGCTGACGAGGTGATGATCCTATAGCCCCTGCAACACGTCCTTGATGATGTTTCTTCTCAACATAGGAAGATAACAATTTCGATTCGTAGCTTTCCCTGGGGATACTGAAATTCGGCCTCGCCGCCCCTCTCCCCCGACCAATTATGTCTTGGCTGGAGATAATCAAGGCCGGGGGCTTAAAGGGCGGGAGATGATCTATTATCTGGGGCATGGGGTTATGAAGAACCGTGGCAAATATGTAGTTGTTACTTGATGTTTGTCCTCGTGGGACCATCATCGAGGTCCTCGTGGGCCTCTGTGGAGCCTCCTGGCCAGTCTTCGGGCCCTCTTGGGCACCCATGGGGCTCGCTTCGGGTCCTCTTGGGCCGTCCTGCCGCCCTTTCGAGCACATCAGAGCTGTCCTGGGGCCGTCTGAGGACGTCTTGGAACCGTCGGGGGACCCTATATAGCCGTCGTAAAGCGCCCAGAGGTGCGCAATGATCTCGAGCTGCTCGCCCGTTTCGAGCGCGCCGCGACTGGAATTGTAGTACAAATGACGTCGGGCTCCAGCGTCGCCTCCCGCATCTCGCTCAGCAGCGCCAGAGCCCGCTGCCATTGCTCGCACTTCTCGCAGGCGCTAATCCCAGCGTTGTGGCTGACTAGGGCTGAACCCCCGCCAACGAGTGCCAGTGGTCAGAGTGCCCTTGCTGCTGCTCATCGCTTTGGGGTGGGCTGTTTGCTTGATGATACTAGCGGCGAGCAGAGTAGCGCTAGCATTATCTGCGGTAGCAGATCCAGGGGTATGGCCAGTAGCACCAGCAGCAGTTCCTCCTCCTCTTCCTCATCCTCCTCCTCATCCGCCTCGACGTCCTCCTCCCCTCCTCCTCCTCGTCCTCATCCTCCTCCTAGTCCTCATCCTCCTCCTCGTCCTCCTCCTCCTCCTCCTCCTCATCCTACTCCCACTCCTCCTCCTATTCCTACTCCTACTCCACTCTCTCTATCGGGCTTGGTTCGTCCTTGTCCTCCGCCTCCTCTCTCTGCTCCTGCTCGTCGTGCTTGATCCGTCATCGTCCTCCGCCTCCTCCTGCTGCTGCTCCTCCTCCTCCTCCTCCTCCTTTTCCTCATGCTGCTGCTCCTTCTCCTCCTCCTCCTCCTCCTCCTCCTCCTCCTCCTCATCCTCATCCTCCTCCTCATGCTGCTGCAACTTCTCCTCCTCCTCCTCCTCCTGCTGCTCCTCCTCCTCCTCTTCCTCTTCCTGCTCGTTGCCGTCGTCCTCCTCCTCCTCGTCTTCCTATTTCTCATCCTCATCATCATCCTCAGCATCATCCTACTCCTCTCAACCTCGGACTGGCTCGTCCTCGTCCTCCGCCTACTCTTCCTCCTCCTGCTCGTCGTGCTTGGCCCGTCCTCGTCCTCCGCCTCCTCCTGCTGATGCTCCTCCTCCTCC